AATTTATCACTTTTTTTCAAAGAACTATCAAAGCCGAATTCCCACTCACTTCTGCGACTGCTGCAGCCAAGAAATTATAAGGTGAGCTTGAATTATCAGTTAGTGATCGTCTGATTTATATACAACATTATAATAAAAACACTAAAAAGTGCATTTCAAAGGTAGTTCACTAGTTAAGTAACTGCTATTTCCCAATTGAGGTGACAAACTGGAAGGAATGGTCACACGATGGCTAATAACCTTGCTTTTCTGGACAAAGTAACAAAACAGAAGAAGCAAAAGCATAATACAATGATAAAGCCGGGCAATTTAAAATTGCTCCCAGCCAAAGAGATTAACAGCATCTATTTAATCGCCTTTATTCGTTATTTTTGCCATTCTCTCACACGTCCGTTCCCAACTTGATACCAGACGTAACGAATTTGAATAGGTATTCATGAAGGTTTACATTTTACCCTTCTATTTGGAAAGTTGCTGCCGCATGCATTCTGTCTGGAGTAGCTGATAAACTGCTCATACATGTTGTATAGCATGTATAAAACATATATACATAGGTTATTTTCTGATATTTTCAGAAGACATTAGGAAAGACATTGCATTCATTTTTCTGAACCTCCTATTATTTGCACATATTTTAGTCGAATTTATGGATGTAGAGAAACTAGAAGTAGAACTTGCACCCATTTGAAAAGATGAGGGCTAGTGCCTGAGGCGCTACTTTTTGAAGGAAAAGCGGAGGAAAGATGAGGGAGGGTGGAAATCGCCAGCCAGGAGGAAGTGGTCGAGTGACATGACACCACGCTTGTCCCTCCTTTCACTTCAATGTATCAAAAGATCTGTAAGAGCTTCAATTTGTGAGGCTAATACGTTCAAAACGTCTTTTATGAGAAGTATGCGGAAAAATGAAGAAGAACTTGTCAAATTATTGTTTCAGGTGGCCTAACAGTGGGCCAAGAGTCAAAGCCTGGCAAGCAGAAGACCACAGGTCTTCGGAATGCCAAAACGCAAGCGCAGTTGAATGTGTCTCTGAGCGTTTGGACACACTGTATGTGGTTTTGAAAGAAAAAAACAAAGAGTGATCCGAATGTAAAATGAAACTATATTTATCGACTGAGGTAGCAAACAAATCTACGAAAGAAATATCTATAACAATATTATGATGATAGTTGAAGTGAAAATGGCATCGAGGTGCGCTACAATACCGCTGACTAGCGCTTCAGATCATGAAACGAGACCCTTATGCAAGGGTTACAGTCTGACGTGATGAGATCCACAGCAAAATAGCTGGATTATGTAATGGCGCGGAGCTTCTTGACCAGATTTCCGCTTATAGGGATATCCACCTGAAGGAAAAAATTTGAACTTGTACAGATCTTCAACAAGAAGAACTTGTCGTTGCCGTGACTTTTCTGACATTATAAGAATAGTAGGGAGGAACGAACCGTTAGATACTCAAGAGAAGCTGCCATTTCCTTAGCCAATTCTTTCGGGATTGCCTTGATATCAACAAAATCAAGGATGTATTCGCTGAAAACCGTTTGAAATAAAAACATGGATACTTAGACAATAAATCAGAGCAGAACACTTACCCGATATAGTCCAGCTCGCTCTTGCATTCATTCGCAAAGTTCTGTAGAACATACAGGAAATTCGATAGGATATCAGGTACGAGCAGCTTGACGTGCGAAGCTAAAAATGGGTCCCATGGGAAGATATCCCGTGATATTTGTAGATCAGAGCAAAATGAACAACATACGAGAATCTTCTAGAGTGTAGGCGATGCTTGTAA